GGATGTTAAAAATTTTAAAAATTTACATTTTGTTAATAAATAATTGATTAAAGTATATAATATTTTTATATTACATACTTCAATCAATGTATATCAGAGCTAAGTCACGAAGTTCTTAAAAAAAATCCTAAAATGGTAATATGATTCGACGTGAAAGAGCTTAAAAAATCAATAAATGCTTTTTATTAGAATAACCTTCCCGAAGTCTCGAAAGTATATTTATAAAAGGGGTACGACTTGAGCAACCTTATCCTAATTTGAATTTTTTATCAAGAGTCAATAATTTATAGTTTAAATTATCTCATTGATTATTGACTATTTATGAGCCAAGTCGACACTGAGAAAAAATTGTGTAATATTCAGTTACAAATGAAAATAAACTAATAATTTTGTATTTACAGTTTTACACAATATTAAATTAGCTTGTTTTTAACAATTACTGATATCTATTCTTAAATAAAATGAATATTTGTGGGTTTTTCTGTGTCATGGTCATAATTATCTTTTAGTAAATGGTTGCTTAAGTCGTACCCCCAGAGAAAATAACTCCTGATAGTGCAATTAAAATAAAGCTAATATTTTTACATTCACTGAATATTTACTCAATCACTAATTTTTAACATTTAATAAAATCTATTTTTTTAAAAAAATAGCTTTCTTACATTTTTCAAAAATGTACTAACGGCACAATTAAGGCGTCCAGTTGCTTTAGTCGTACCTATACAAAAAACTGTATTAAATTCAATTCGAGATCAACTTTTCTTCAGTTTTTATATAAAATAATACTCGAGAAAAAATAATAACCTCGAAAAGTAATGATTTATTTTATTAGAAAATTTTGAATTATCTGGGTTCTAATAACAGAGATGGAAATGTTCATGAATATATAACCGTTATTGTAATTTCTTATTTTAATTTAATTAATTCAACTTGGTATTTTCCAATTTGAGTAAAAACTTGGAAATATTGTTTTTATCCATTATTTTTTAAAACGCTCTGCTTTAAATCGACTAATAATAAGTAATTTCGCCCCTCAAAGTTCTTGAAGTTCGAAATTAAAACTAATGACATCCTAAGTTAACTGATTAATCTCAATCTCTACAATTTTCTTACTAAGTTTTAATTTTATTTCATTTTTACTTTATTATTCATTAGGCTCTCCAACTAATCTCATAGTAACCTTGATGATAAATCGAATTATAATCTATCGAAGCAATTTGATATAATTATCTCCTGATCTTCATTAATCACTTAATAAAGATTAAAAATATAATATTTAAATATTACACAATATATCAGATAAAAATTTAATATACTTTCTTCTTTTATTACAGTGCTGTGCAAGGGTCAAGTGACAACCAAATATTATAGATTTCCAATCAAAACTGGAGGTTGGGTGTGGATGCAAAGTTATGCAACCATAGTGCACAATTCGAGATCATCGAGGCCACTTTGCGTTGTTTCAGTTAATTATGTCTTAAGGTAATTGTTTAAATAAAAACATATTGTGAAAATTATCGTAGTCAAATAATATAAAACAAGCTCTGGCAATCACAAAGTAAATTATGAAAAATCTGTTCACTTGCATACACACGCACACATACTTTTTCCAAATTTGGTCTCATTCGATTCAGAATGGCTTGAAACATCAAGAAAACATAAAATTAGCAAATCGGATTTTTTATAAAAACAAACTTTTCCTACGGGAAGTTAAAAATATCGAATTAACACTATGGGTTTGTTTTACAAAATTGAAAAATTGTATTACTACAGTTCACTTCTTTGTTAAGATAAGTATAAATTATATAATAGAAGTTATTTAAAGAATAGAATAATGTTTGATGAAAAGCAAAATCAACAGAAAAAAAAGTTATTTAAATAGAAAAAAATTTAATTCCTATTTATCAAGTTTATTATTTTCACATTTCGGGAAATTTATGCAACTTGCATAGGTAAATTGCCACTTGCACTAGTTATTTAATACAGTAATATCCTCAAAATATTCCTAATAAGTCGACATTTCAAAATAGATTTGGTTTTTCAAATCTCAATTCAAATAGCAAATGGTCACTTGTTTCATTCAAATATATTCGCCAATACACAAAATTTTGACACATTTCCATGACGAGTATATACGTCAATTACAGTCAACTGGTTAATATTAAGTTAAATAAAAATATATTATTTATTTAGAAATGATTCATTCATCGTGCCATCTAGTAGCTCTTTTTAATTAAATAACGTATAAAATTCCTTTTCCTTTAAAAAGACAGAAAGGTGCTATTTATTTATAAATTCAACATATTATTATTTACCGCACTTATCATAAATAAATATTTATTTTTTAATGAAAATCATTTAATCTTTTCAATACGCAACAGATTTTATAAGAATCTCTTTTTAAATTTAATTCTGATGTTTTTACGAATTCAAATATAATTTATTACATTGATGCATAAAAATGATTTGCGTTATCAAAAATCTAATGCGTTTATTGTTCGTCAATAATGATTATAAATTTTTGAAATATTTATGAGACGAAATATACGAATTGATTTTATCTTTGTTTGGCTAAAAAATATATACAGAAATTGTTTGAAAGAAAAACAAGATGATAATGTTCTAAAAATAAATTCAATTACTTCGAAAAAGTACCTGCTTGATTAAATGAATTACGAATAAATTCATTTCACAAAGGTATTTGCAATGTTTTCCTGCATAAGTGACACTGCTGTACAAGCCAGCAATCTGCCTAAGTATTAGATATACAAAATATTTCAAGATTTTCCAATTATTCTTAAATATAAAAATGAATTGCAAAATTTGTTGGTAAGCGCATAACTCAACAATGCCTGAACCAATTTGGCCAATTATTTTTTAAAATGTTCGCCAAGGATGGTTCTTACCAAAAATCGACATGTCATTGTTAGCATTGAAAACAAATGAAAACTATAATCTGCCAAAAATTTCAATTCACGTATGAACCTAGACAATATTAGAATATGTAAAATAAATTTATGATTATGATTAAGAAAAATAAAATGTCTACATTATTATTGCCAAAAGGCAGCTGAGATGTGCCAGAAATTAAAATAATATAAAATACAGTATATGTATGGCAGATTGAATGATACACGTATGAACAGGATATGACAAATTAATTCACTTAAAATATGAAATTAAGTATTAATCAGGGCCGGTCCTACCTTTAATGCGATGCATGCGAAAAATACGAGCGCACGCCTTAGGGGGCGCCAACACAAGATATTAAATTTTCAATATAGTTTTTTTTTTAATATATAATTTCGGAGAAGTTTAAGATGCAATTTTGGATATCTTTAATAATAAAAAATCAAATTAATTTAATCCAACATGAAGAACTACTGTTATGTTATGGTTATGGTTATGTTATACCGGTTAAAAGACTTCAATTTCCAATATAGTGTGAGAATTGAGACTCATCATTTTATTTAAAGCTGTTCTACATTTAGCATCGCTCATATTATAAATGTATATGAAGAATTTATTTAAAAAACAATAATTATTATTTTTAGGTAAACGGTAAATATTAGTATATTATATTAAAAAATTGTAGACATGGGTACAGGACAACGTCTGTCGGGTCATCTAGTTATGAATAGAAATGTATTTAAAATAATTCTTTTATATATGTAACTGTAAACTGTTTGATTTTTAATAATTTTACTCATGTTGGATCAAAAGTCGATATACTGGATGTCATCTATAGGCGACACTCGTACACACAGGTCGACAAGCGGTTGTCGCCTATAGACGACGCTCGTAGCAAAAGGCTTAAACTTACAAGTTTTTTAACCATATTTTTCAATTTTCAGTGGTCAAGAAGCAAAAGACCTAATACTTTCAACAGAACAAGGACCAGCACGATCAGTCACAGAACAGGCTGCAGTATCAACGCCCGTGGCAACGATAACAAAAAGCAATCCTGTCCAACTTGCACAACTTCATCCTAGTAGCCACGAAACAGTAACAAGTAACCATCCGGTTATTCAACAACCACAACAAACAACTCCGCCTATGCAACACCACGGTGCCTCACATCATCATGAACCAACGCCTATCCTTCACCATCAACCACCAGTAGTTGGTCACCATAGTGGAGAACATTTACATCACAGTGGATATAGGGAAAATTCGTACCATGATCATGGTCCACATGAATATCAGTATTTGCAACATTTACAACCGGTGAGGAAACCAGATATAACTAGTTGGTATTGGTATTTTGCCTTGAGGAAAGTTACATGAACTTCCCGATTTGTGTAAATAATCGAATTAATCCATGATAGATAAATTAATTTATGAGTGATTAAAAGTATTTCGAGTGGATTTTATTAGACATAATTGAAAACGAACGAACACGCAAACTCGGAGTATTTTCTAAAAGCAAATTTTCAAAAATCAATAATTTTTTAATCAAACCAGTTTCCATGGTTTAGTGTGTTCATTAAGACCAAGTACTCTATCGTTATACCAAGTAAATCGTCTAATTTCAATCTTAACAAACGTCAAAAAACTACTCATTTTCTCAAACTTTGATGAATTTTCAAAATTAAATTACTTGTCGTAAGGCCGCAATATTTCAGTAAGTTCTATAAGACCATGATATATATCGCCAAAAAAAGTTCCATAAAAATCGGCTTCATTTTTTTTCAACAGTTAATTACACAAAAAACGGCTCGGTAGATTTTTACCTAAAACTAATCAGTATTATTCCCAACTAATATCTTTCGAACAGTTTTTTTAGTTTTTAAAATCGGTTCGGTAGTATGAGCTTAAATGTAGACAAAAAGTATAACACTTTTTTTCCAAATTACAAAGAAACGGCTCGGCCCATCGTCGCACAAAACTGAGAAACAATAGTCCTTATTGAGATACATCATATGGCTTTTAAATTTTTGAAATCGGTTCAGGAGTTTTTGAGAAAACGTCGATCAAAGGTCTAATTTTGACAAATGCCAAAAAAAACGATACTAATTTTTGCAAACTTTGAAGAATTTTTTTAATTAAACGACTTGTCGTAGGGCCATAATATTTTAGTATGATCTACAAGATTATGGTATCTACCGTTCAAAAAAATCATAAAAATCGTCGAATTTTTTTTTAAACTTTATTACAAGAAAATGGTCTGGCCGATCTTTACCAAAAACTAATCAGCACGATTCCCAACTAATATCTATCGAACGGTTTTTGAATTTTCAAAATCGATTCAGAATTGCGGGCTAAAACGTGGACGAATTTTTTTTACTTTTCTGCAATACGGCCGATCGTCGCACAAACTCAGAAACGCTACTCCTCATTGAGATACATCGATATGCTTTTAAATTTTTGAAATCGGTTCATCCGTTTTTGAGAAAACGTCGATTTACGGCAAAAACCTCTTTTCGCACCACACACACACACACTTTTTTTTCAAATTTGGTCTCATTCGATTCAGAATGCTTGAAACGTCGAGAAAACATAAAATTAGCGAATCGGATTTTTTGATGAAAACATAAACTTCTCCTTCGAGAAGTTAAACATTTACAACTTCACGAGAACAGTTTTTCTAACAAATTATCTTTATTTCAGCACGATCAGCAAGTCTACGACGACAGCAGTTCTTCAGCAAATTTCTGTGCATACCCCGATCACATGTTCTACGGTTACGAAACAGCAGATCCAACCCATTCCCATACCCATTTGCAACCAATTACCGAAAGGCCCTTTTCGGTTTCAAGTAACTCCTGCAGTAGTACAGAAAGTGAAGTCAACAATATGGTGATCTATGAAGCAGCCAGAGCAAACAACCATGTTTTACACGATTTTCAAAATTACCAGCATCTCCAACCTGTTACGCAACACCAGCATCATCAGCCTGTTGTGGTAGGAGCAGGTGTTGTAAATAACACTTCACCTGGTCATGTTCCTTATAAAGGGGTGATAGTTGATGCTCAGCAGTATCATCAGTTAACTAATGAGTATGTTCGCTGATAGAAAAAAAATTATGGGTGTAAATCCATGAAAAGATTTAAAAAGTGGTGACAGAATCCCAGATGTTATGGGGGCCAGATCTTGAATAAAATAGAAATGCTACGTTACGGGTCTATCTTCGTATGAGTTGGTAGTAACAAACTGCCAAAAATTTGTGTTTGCTGTGCGATCAGGCGTTTTACACATAGAACCTAACCTACAAAACAAACAAAGTTCAAACTTCAGAAAGTGCAACTTTCTGAGGTCTCTTTGATAAAACATATTTGAAGTTAAGAGGCACAACTAGTGTAACCGCCTAAAAAAAAGTGATTTTTGCGAATTCATATTAGAAAAAACTACTTTTTCAATTATTTTAAAATTTTAGGAATATATTTATACATGTTTTAAGAATACACAGTGAAATTTTGAAGAAAAAAATTAAATATTTTTCAAGTTATCGTCGATCTCCAACGGCGCGACAAAAAAAGGCCCTTCACTGCTGCAGTGATTCTGGCCTTCTACGTGGATGATATTTAAAAAAAAAAATTCGTTAAACTAGATAATATTGTCTGTAAAATGAACTACGATAAAGAAAAAAAATCAAAAATTGACAAAATGACGGCGTTTTTTAAAAAGAAGTCGAATTTTACCCAAAGTTTTGGTCGTTTTTGGACTGCCAAAATTCGATTTTGAACCGATCAAAAAATCGATAGTTCATTTTACGGAGAACTATATATATAAAATATGTAAAAAAAATTGATAGTGATCGGAACATTTATTTTTGAGTAATCGCTGCAGCAAATTCGGAAAATGCTGTTTCGAGAAAAACGAGTTTAAAGATAAAATGATGGTTATACTCTTTAAATTGATGTAACTCAAAAACTATTTAAGATATCGATTTAAAATTTTGGTATGTTATTTTTAAAGGTATAACCTATCGAAATTGAAAATTCGATTTTATGAAATTTTCACACTAGTTGTGCCCCTTATGTGTGAAACGCCTGATTGCACAGCAAATTCAAAGCTTGTTGACAGTTATTACTACCGACTCATACGAAGATAGACCCATAACATGTCATTGGCTCCTTAGTAATACATATGACATCTGATTATTTCATAAGTCTACCTTGCACTTTATGCAAAACCCAATGAAAATAATATTTGCACCGCCAAAATTATTATTCATTACAAAATATGTGATTTATACCACAATTATATCGAAACTAATCAGATATAGTTAAGTGTGTTAAGTCGTTAAGTAGAATTTAATTTTTTTTAAACTAAATTATATATTTGTAAATTAAATATACTACCCAGTGATGCGTGCCAGTAATTAATATATTTTAAAATCTAAGTCGGCGAAAAAATTGTTACAAACGTTGTTTGAGTAATATAAATAACTGTTGTTTGAAATTCAAAGAAAGACTGAATATTTTATTTAGTTGATTTGGTTTAGGCATAAAAATATGCACGTAATTTAGATAATTTTTAATTAATTTAAACAAATTGTAAAAATTTAAAAATATTTCTTTGATTAGTACGGTATTAAGATGTCCCTTCTAAAAATATAATCAAACATCACGTTGATTTATAAATGGCTAATAAATTAAAATATAAGACATGATACAATAAGTTCTTGCAAAAACTCAACGGAACCAATGGTAGTAATGATAATTGAAAAGATACCCTTTTATTTTAAGTAAATTATAGTATTAAATTCAAAAATGATGAAATAATGATAATACTATATATGAAATAGCTGGTAAATGATGTTTGATACAAGTACGTGACAATATCCTCGTATTTCCAAAGTATTTTGTGAAGATAAATAGCACAAATATTGTGAGTGTTCTATGTCATAAAATTTTACCAATTTATGGAATAATTACATTTATCTATAAGTGGATTTGTAAACAAAAATCGATTATGAATAGTTTTTATAAAAATATTTTAAGGTGTATTATAATATGTAACCAAAGTGTACAAAGATTACTATAAAATATGTACTATAATTATACAAAATGTACATAAAAGCTTTAGTCGTTAAGAAATATATTTTATATTATATTAATATATATGCATTAGATAACAAAATTGGATATTAATACTTAAATCATGTAAATATTCTTTGTAAAAAAATAATTAGGACAATGTAAATCGTACAGCAATGTGACAAATTTCAACCTGTGAAATATATATTTTTTTCTCAAACATTGAATTATTTAATTGATTTATTCATTTGAATTTTTGTGAACTATAAATTCATAACTAGCGGTATATGGCATCGTGCCTCAAGGCAAATTGCTGGAACTTTCCGTACCGTGATAAAATATTCCAGGAATATTAAATGTTTTCAAATATATTATAAATTATTTATTCTTTATAGACAAAATATAAAAAATTATAAATTGGATGATGGCGTTTATATATGTTTGTATGAGAAGTAAATTAACAAAATTTGACAAATTGGATTTAAAATAAAGGACATTGTGTAATATTTATAAAAATTATATAAACTGAATTGCGAATTTAAAATTATTTATTAGAATTATATAATTGATGTTTAGAACTTTAGCTGGAATAAGAATTAAAATCCAAATTATGTTCGATATTCAAAAAAAATGGAAATTAATAAAAAATGGTTCTCTAAAAGCAATAGTTTAGTCAAAACAAGCAGAAAGCTGTTTAAATCATTCAAATCGGATGCTTAGTTCCCTCAAAAACTGTCATTTTTAACATGTTTAGCTTCGTATCTCCAAAAAGACTGGACCTGCCTTTACTAAAAACTAATCAGCACATTTCCCTATCAATAGGAATCGATTGCTTTCTGAATTTTTCAAATAGGTGCATCCATATGCCCGAAATCGTCGACGAAAAATTGTCTCCACACATGCATACACACACACACATACACGCACACACATCCATTTTTTCTGAGGTATGCCAAAATATTCAGAAACCTCTAAAACGTGAAGATATTTTATGTTATATATGTTGGAAAGTAATCAGAACGCTCACTTCCTAAACGTCGTGATTTTTTATAGGTGGCAACCCAAAAGGTTATCATATATTTATGTAATAACTTTATTATTACAATTTCTGTAATATTAATGATTTTTTTATGAATGCAGCAATGCTAAAAGACTATTTTCTCTATTGAAATTATTTCTTTTTAGTGAAAACCGATGTCAATACTGCTTGATATCAGACTGCCCGAGGACTTCTGGTTGGAAGTCCATAGATCTAACACCTAGGCCACGAGGAAGCTCGCAAGAACTTAATACAAGTGATGTACATCTTATTCACAATCACGATCGCAGACCGGTTTGAAAATGAATTCGTTACATAATGCGGGCACAATATTATGTAATCTCATACATCCTGTGTATCCTATTATAATTCGATTCGAAATCGACAATAAAATACGACTATCTGTACTATCTACCAGAAATATACAATATCATTTCCTATAAAAAAACAACAAAGCAAATGGGAATTAACAAACCTTTAGTATATTTTAAAATTAATTCTAATCGCTTTTTTTCATTTAAATAAAGTTTTCTTATAATATTTTTGTTTCTAACACGCATTATGTATATACATACTAAGGTGCAAGTTGTGATAATATTTGATGATGACACATACGCGTAATCTAACAAGTGAGTTATCACAATTAATCTATGGACAATATTGAATTAATGGGAGAGCTAGTGTTAGCATTGAAAATATTAAAATGTGTCCAAATTTCTAGACTAGGTGTTAAAACATCTCTGACAGAGCAACTTAAAAATTGAATCATAAGAACTTGAATTAATTTAGATTGACCTTCAAATTTGTTGATTTGAACTGATGTAATTATAATTGTCTTTTATATTGATACATATAAATTTGTTGTTATATTTGTTATATGTTAGATATTTAGCTGATTTTAAAAATTCTTTTAAATGTAGTTATATGAAGACCTACAAAAGAAAATTAAAAATAGTCGCACACTAGTTTATAACTAGCACGACGATAGAATCTTTGACCCATAAAAATTATTTCGGTGCATACTATAATTAACTTATTGTTCCTTTTATTATAGGTAATTTTTAGCCCAATATCTTATAGAATTTTATCTATATTTCAGTGCTATATGTCAGCAATAGAAACAAATTTAAGTTGACTCTGTCTAAATCTATATATGCGACTTGTAATATGCAAAATAACAAATATTTTCTAAACATATTTTAAAATTTGATGGATCTTTTATATTATTATTTGAACTGCAATCAGAATAATTTTCAGAGATCTGGGAGCTGTTGTGATATATTTCATACAGTACATAACATTATTAGGAGACAAAAGGTTGTCGTACTTCTGATTGATAAATTTATACTGATGCATTTTTATCGTCCACGTTTTCGGACGTACGGATCAACCGATTTGAATGGTTCAAAAAACATTCGATTCATATTCATAGGGAGATGTGCTGATTAGTTTTTGGCAAAGGCAGGTCCAGCAGTTACGGAGATAAACAGTAAAGAGTGCAGAAAATAGAAATCGAGTTTTTGAGAGAACGGAGAATCCGATTGGAATGATCTAAAAAACATTAAATTAGTAATGATTGGGAGAAGTGTTAATCAGTTTTTGAGAGAACTAAGCGTCCGATTTAAATAATTCAAAGAACTTTCTGCTTGTCTTAACAAAATAATTGATTTTAGAAAAAAAAAAATTTTGTTTCAACTTTTCTTCTCAATTTTTTTGTTTATCGAAAATAACTCAGATTTTATTTTTAATTCTGACTATAGTTCTTATATACTTTAAACAAATAATTTCAGCTTTGCAATTCAGTTTATATAATTCTTATGAATATTAGACAATGTTGCAATATTTATAATAATCTATTTGAAAACTTTCAGTATTCCTCCAACATTTCGTTACGGTACGGGAAGTTCCAGCAATTTGCCTTAAGGCACAATGCCATACACCCCACTAGTTATAATTTTGAAGTTAAACTTTTGCATCGATGCACAACATAC